GCCTCAAGTCAGCTAAACCGTCAACCCTTTTTAAGTAAACACGAACGAATTCAAAAATAGCCTAATAAACGTTCAAATAAGTGTATTAAGAATAGATTTTGGACAAATATAATATAAACACGAACGAATTCAAAAATAGCCTAATAAACGTTCAAATAAGTGTTCATATTATTTAAAAGTTGGCCCCTTAGATTTAATCTAGAGTTCTTCCAATCAACTAATTTGCTGCACGTGTGCAAGTAATTTTGTGGGTGAAGGTCTTTTATTCTATGTTTATACAAGTATGTTAGACAAGATTAATTTAGATAATGAATCGAATTGTTCACTGATTGTTACTCAATTTAATGACATGTTATAGGCCATCGGCTGCAGCCTTTAATGGCCAAGTCTTTTCACACAGAAGTCTTGACTTGAGCAGTACGAGAAACCACAAATTATTAGCGTATTTATAGGCAGTAATTTAAAAATGGGCCTCGCACCAACGAACTGCTGGATGGGCCCCATCATTTGTTATAGTTGTTGTGCGTTCTTAGCCATCGCCTTAGCCTAAATAAAAACGTAATAACAATTGAGTTACAGGAAATGTTTCGGGTCAGACGGGCAACCCTTTTGTTGATTATTCGTGATGGTGCTCTATTTTTGTTGCCTTGTTTTTTAATTAATATTTATGGCCGGTAGCTGGAATGAGCCCTAAATAAATTTAAGCAGCGAGTCAATGGACTTGGCAGCGGCCAAGAGTTCCAGCGCCGGGGCTATGTCCAGTTGCCGTATGCCGTGCGGGCGAGTGATTATGTAATAATTAACTGTACATTAACTATTTGTAACCATGAAATTCTACATACACACACACACTCACACACACAAGAGCAGCTCACGTGGTCAAAAGCAGAGCGCAAAAAAAAAACAAAAACTAAATAAATAACAAAACAGTGGAAAAAAACTGTTACTCAAAATATTTGTGCTTAGTTGGCTGACACGATAGCTGAAAAGCAAACAAAAGCTTTGTTAATTTTTATAAAAAACGGGGCTAAAATACACTCACAAGTGTGATTAAATAAATGGACATAACATCATAGATAGTATAAATATTTTCAAGTCAGTGTATTGTATAAATTATTTATCTAACCTTTCTAAAAAAAATATACAATATTATTTGAAACGATATATTTAATTCAGTTAATGCCTAAACAAATTTAATAGCTGAATTCAAATGTTTATTTCAAGCTTCTTAAATATAAAAAAAAAGAAAACATTAATATAATTCAATTACATAATTTTTTATATTTATTTGGAGTGAATACTCAAGCCAACATATATTAAAATTATTCGAAGTACTGAAGCATTTTTTGATGAGTTTTTATAAAAAATAATTAAAAGAAAAATAATTATAACACATTTTAAATAGTTGATTTTATTCTCTCAAATTTGTTTTATTTTAAATTTTACTGTTATTAAAGGAACAACTTGAATTAAACTGATTTGAATAAATACAATACAATTTATTCTACAGTAAAGTCTAAAATTATAAAACAGGTTGGTTATATTAACCGAGCTGAGAGATCGATTAGTTTATACCTCCGCAATCTCCTCCGCATTCGAATTCCACCAATTCCACGATTCTTTAGATGACCCCTAGCTAGTCGATAGTGATGATTTTAATGCGTGATATAAATCGCCACCTGTGTTTAATAGTTTAATTTATATTGAATTATTTTGGGAAAAGATGTATAAAAATGGTAATACTTTTAAGCTTGACACCATGCGACTGTTCTATATGTTCAGCTTATAAAAAACAATTCACTTAAATCCCTGGACTATACCTCATACTTTATAGTTGCATTTGGTCAAAACGCTTGCCAAAGTCCGCAAACTTTACAGAAAGTGTATTTTAATGCTTCTAAGCAAATATTTGTGTTTAATTTGTAGCGTAATTTTTACGTTAGATTTAACACCCAGCAAAAAAACAAATCCACTGCGTATACGTAATGGCCATTGGAATGTGCCACCGCGTGCGTGTGTGTGTGTGTGTTTATGCGTGGCAACTATAACAATAAATCTTATTTATGTGTTTTTGTGCTATTTTTATGAGTTGATATTTGATACAGGGATATTTATTTATTTTTTTTGCGTGGGTTGCCAAATAGTTTAAATAAATGGCCGCCCGCAAAAATGAAAATAATGCTATAAAATTCAAATGCAAGCGGAAGCGGAAATGGCGCAAATGCGCTAGTCACGCTTCACACTCACTCCGACTGTGTGTGTGAGCGGGGGTGGGGGTAGAGAAAGCTCTCTAATCTAATTTAAGCTGCCATTAGTGTTTAACACTCGGCCAGGCCCACAATTTTGGGCCAAAGTGGCGCCCAACTCCGCAACAACTTCATCAATCAAAGGCTACACAACGCATTTTGCATGCGTCGTAGCAGCTGCCCAAAGAGGAGCAGGGCAGGGGCTAGCAGCAGCAGGAGTAGATAGAGGGGAAGGTGGAGGTGGAGGTGGATGTTATATGTGCGTGCCATCAAAACGCGTTCGCTGCGCAATTTAAGTTGAGAACTTGTACAAAACACGCGCCGCCTTTAGCGTATTCCAAAAACGAAGCGAGTTCCCAAAAGTGGGCTATGAATTTCTTGTTGCGTATCCATTTGTGGGTCGTGTTGAACGTGGTCGGAAAACATTTCGGGCCAGCTGTTATTTAATGAGTTATGTAACAGATCTATCATTGTTCCGATAAAAGAACCTGAATCAAGACTTAAATTAATAACATAGAATTTAACTTAGCGATTTTATCTGATTTTCTATTTAATCAATCTTGAACTTATTTGATTCGAGTTAAAGTGATGAAATTGCTTGAAAAGGTTAATTTCCTGCAACTTTGTGAAGACGCTCAATCTGATTACTTAAATTATGCCCAAACAGGAATTCATTCCAATAATTGTCATTTGTTTAATTCACTTTAAGTGCAAAACACACGTGCAATGAGAATCGCCGAGAAGAGCTTGAACGCGTTATATATTGTTTAAACGTGAGGCGGGGCTAGTGGGCAGGTGCTATGTCAGTTGCGGCACTTTTATCGATTGCCTGCGAATCGCATTTCATGTTTACAAACATTTTCAGCCTTTGCCGTAAGCCGATGCCATAGGACGCGCCCAAGTTTTGAGGGTTCGTGATTTCCGTGGGCGGAGGGTGTGCGGGTAGCTCGATTTCTTATTGTTATACTTTGAAGTAATTGATTTTTAAACTTGACACCTTGCGCTAAGCGGCTTAGTGATGGAAACGCGCGACCCTCTAGACCCGCTACCAACCCTCCCCCGCATTGTTAGATTTGACGCTTTTGTTATGGCTGACACACGCCTCGCCCCAGTGCCTTGCGCTGGCTTCGTGTGCGCTCCTCGTGCTGTTATTTTTCCGTTTTTTTCTTTTTTGACAAACAATACAAAGAAACATCTCCGGAATTTGTAGTTGCAGTAACGTGATATGGCTCATTAGTGGATTTAACGGTGTGGCGAGGTGTGAGGTGATTTGTATTTGGAGAATTACGTTGAGGCTTTATTTGTATTTGATTACACAAAATGCTTTATGCCGCTGAACTAAAACCTGGACAATTTAAATGGGCATTTTCAGCTAGTCTGCAATTAGTTTTAAGTGCGCTGCTGGCGCAAATATGAACAGCAAAATGCTTTTAATTTATTGCGACACTAATATACATTAATGTCTTGGCCAACTTCAAAGGCGTTGCTGCGCTCTGCTGTGGCCAGGTCAAAGCGGGCCAGAACCGACTGCGACCCCAGACTCAACCAGACAATTAAAAGTCCATGGCCCAGAGAAATGTTAATGACATTTCGCACCAGGCAACCAACGCCGGACAACTCCAAACTGAGTCGTCGGATATTTGTGGGCACAGCGGGCGGGCGGGTGTACGGTACGGTTGCGCAGAGGCTTGCAGTGAAAGTCGCGGCAGTCTGCACAAATTTGAAACTACCGTAATTTGCATATTTTAAGTTGACTTTTATTGCATTAAAAATGGCAGTGGCTTTGCCATTTTGGCCGCAGCTGTAAAACTGCCATTGCCCCTAACCCGAAGCCCCCTCAAAAAAAAAAAAATGCTAAGGCGTTGCCAAATGCCGCCACTTTAACTGTGGTTAGCACTTTATGTGACTGTCAATGAATAAATCGAAAATCAGATTAATAGTCTAACAACTCCCTCTTTTTCAAGATAAATTCTTAATAATTTAACAAAGTTTGTTGAAAGTCTGTAGAAAGATTTTGATTGAGGAACTTTCCGAACAGAAAATAATATTGAGTATCATACATATTTAGCAGAGCAATTTTTAATTCCTGTGGAACAAATCTATATTTTCGAGCTCTTAGAAAATTAAAAGAAAACAATAAAAATATAAAATATTAATATAAAATTTAATGATCAAAATAATTTCAACAAAATAGAAAGAAAAGGCAATCATCTTCAATAAATACAATATACATTACAAAAAAAAAATGCATTTATATATTCAGGATTACCAGAGAAAAGAACCAAAATCAAAAGATATCTTTAGATAATACATTTTACTAAAGCGAAAGTAAAATAAAATAAATAAAATAGAAATAAATTAAATTTATATAAAATAAATATAATATAAATTCTTCTTTAAAATGAATTTATATATTCCGGAGTATTAGAGAATAGTTTCCAATAATATTTATTAAAAAAATGTATATTGAATATTATTAGCGAAAAGGTTCCAATAAAATGTATATCTTTGGATAGAAATTAAAGAAATTCAAATTTCTTCAAGATGGTTTTAAGAAAAGTTCCCAATGGTATTTATTAAATATATATATATATATATTGAGGATTATAAGAGAAAGGTTTTTTCCAACTCAATATATGCCTTAAGATAATACCTGATAGATAGAAATAGATTAATTGATAGAAAAATTGGATTTTTCAATTATATTTTTATTTGTTCCTCCGAACGATTCTTTAAAATTCTAGCAAGAAAATCTAAACTTTAAACTTTTATTTCTTAAGTGACAACTATTTTACTCTTTATTTTGCACCACTGTGGATTATTTTGGGCGGCAACTGCTGTCGTCTGACTTGTCTGGTGGCTGTTTGCTTTGGCCGCATGTAAAACTAGTGGAAGACAGATTACAAAAATACAATTAAAATGTTTTAGTGAAAATTAACTGCAGTTTAAATAAAATGCTACGTTTAGGTGGGGAAAAGCATGACAGAACCCCCTAAAGTGTTACCACAGCACATTCTCTCTGCTTTCACTCACTTCCACCTCCCCCTTTTCGACCAAGAGCACTTGATGGCGACGTTGCTGCTTGTTTTCTTTAGTTGGTTTTAGTGGTTTAGGGTTTAACGTTAAGTATACGCACGGTGTGCGCAGTCAAGTTTGGGGCGGTGCGAAATGCAGTCAAAGCTGTTTGCTTAAGGTGTGGCTTGATGTGGATTTTGCAATTTGTTAGACTTCTTCATGGTGCTCCTCTTCTTCTTTTACTGTTTGGACGCTGTCGCCAACATCATCATCATTATTATCATTCTCATTATCAACAATATCAAGAGCAGCTGCTTGTCTACCTTGTGGCTGTTCTCGTTGTTGTTGTTCTTGTTGTTGTTGTTCTTGTTTGTGGCTGGCCTAGAAACTTAATTGAAAAAGATACATACACACACACTAACACATGCACGTTTGCTTCAAAAAAGGTTTAATTTAAATAAACTACGAGCACCAGCAGACTGCATTAGCCAGCTAAATGAGTACCCTTCGAGCGGTTTGTGCCCAGTTCAGGTGCTGCCAGTGGCTGCGACTTAGAGGTTGGATCTCTTACCTTGGTCATTTGCTGCTGCTGCCTCTGTCTGGAGTCGACTCATGTCGCCTTAAGCGTCTTCTGCGAAACTGAACCGTACAGCTCAGCGTCTTCATGACATTGAGTTGATACAAAGCTTAGATATGCTTGTTGTACATATATGCTCAAAAGAAATTGAAATTCAATTGATAGTGCTATTACATTATAAAATTGATTGTTTATGTACCTCTGTTTCTCTAGAAAAAATTGTATAGTCTTAGCTGTAATCAAAACATTATGTTTTGTAGTTCTAGAAAGAGTCAAGTGTGATTGAAACTCGATGTTTATCAATGCCAGGGACACGATAAGTCCACAACAAGTAAACGAATATTATAAATTTATTGTCTCTGAGTTTCAGCGGGAAACTCTTTATAATCTACTTATGTATAAAGACAGACAGACTGTTGCTGAGGTGATGATGCCTAAGAATGTACTTTTTGTCTTTTACTACTTATACTGCTTTGTATACCCTGCATAGCCAATATCAAAAGGTTAAGCATATAATTATAGGCACTTATCACTAGGAGACTCTTTTCTATGGCTTTTTTATATTCTCAGAACTAACCAAGCTCTTTTCATGTTGTATATTTTTACTGGGCATGGACTTAAAATTAGTTATTATCCCACATTAATTTAATTTGAATTTCAAATCACGTATTTTTGGCAACCTATAATGGAAAATTCATTCAGATAAAAATTAAACTTGTTGCCAGTATAAAAAAAATACGTACAGTTGCAAACAGAGTAATGAATCTCAAAGTTCATTAAATATTTTATATTTCAGCACAAATAATAATTTTTGTTTTTTTATTTATATCTTAAAAATGTGATTTTGCTTAAGAAGTATTCATTAGTAAATCTAACTTTGAAAACATTTTGAGGGTATTGATATTTACTTTTCCGCTTCAAAAATATTTGTTCAATCGCTCACTAACACTGTGGTCACCTAATGAAGCTCAGCTCTTTGATCTATTGCGGCCACTGCCCACAGATGTATATAAATATATAAATATTAAATTATACAAATGCCAATGCCCTTGGCTGCCCAATTGGGCACCCTCACTATAAATAGCCGCAGCAAAAAATGGTTGCCTGCTTTTCGGGGCAGCCGTAAAACCAAATGCGACTGATGAAACTTTAAACCCAAAGGCAAAGGCAAGCCCTAAGTCAGTGCCAACATTAAGTTTATATAAATTTTTAATAAAGTTTGAAGCTAGAAAGTGTTATTTTTAGACAGACATCGACGAAGATGTGGACGAGGACGATGACGCAGCAGCAGCAGCAGCAGAAGCAGCAGATAAAATATGACATTTATAGCGCCCGAATACGTAAAAGTTGAACGCACCCGTTGAGAAGCAGCCACAGGGGCAGCAGCACTTTGAATTTTATGTAGCTTATATAAGGACTGCGCTAGGGTAGCAACTCACAAAGTGGGAGGTGCGACTGCAAGTGTAACTTTAGCACCAGCCCTAGCCCCAACCCTAGCCCCAGCCCTGGCCCCAGCCGCAGTTCCCGTCTCAGCGGGTGCAAACGCAACTGGCGGCTATTTTGATTGCGGTTTCTATTGAGCTATGGAGGGAGGAGGTACATTAAATTGGCAGCTGGCAGCCCGCTGAAGTTACGGTCTGCGTTTAATGCAAGTTTCTTGCACTCAGGGCTTTAGTAAGTACGTGAAATAATATTAAAATGATAAAGTATATGCGAGGTAAACACACGCTGGCTTCTATATATACTGGGGAAATAACTTGACAAGCATATTTCAGCTGAATGCCACAGAATACATTTCGGCTTGAATATAGGTCAGCCTTCTATCCAAATTTTAACAGCATAGTTTGGCAATAGCGACATCTTTTAAATATATATTTATCGTGTGATTCTTACATTGTCTTGAGTAGCAGATCTTAGCTAGCTTAAGCAGTCATCACAAAAATTTGACCACCATAACCTTGCTATTCGAAGAGCTGTTAAAAAATAGAAACTTTAAAAAGAGTTTTTCATTCCACCCATAGTTTTTAGCGCCAGCTTGAAATCTTCCAGATCTTTATATATGTATTATACCATACAGGTTAAAAATGTATGCAACATATATATTTATATATTTGTGATTTGCATAATAGCTTCCTAATCTCACAAAGTTTCCCGTAAAACCATTTCATATAGTCTAACCAAGATTAACATTTATGAATAAGCTTTGGCTTCCTTTTGCATATGAATATCAAGGACAACTCATTTATCCTAACACGAATCGCTGGCTGAACATTTACCAAGTTTTATTAAATTTTTGCCGCCTTGTTGCCATAAAGCACTTGGCAAATGTAAATTACACATGAGCAAGCAGCATAAAAGCTGGAATAATATTTGAAATACACACACACGCGCATACACACACACGCATATACGCAAAGGACATTTATGGCAACACCTTCTAATCAAGCAAAGAGCTTAAAATAAAGTAAAGCAAAGAATGAAATAAAAGATATTATGAAATTTCAAACACACCCTACACACACGACGCACACAAAGCCTGACTGTGTGTGTGTGGGTGTGTGTGCGCTGGTGTGTGGGTGTGTATGTATGTATGGTGTGAACACATACGCACATGTTCGCCAGTCAGCTAAACAAGGAAGACAGTCGCCCCTTTTTGGGTAGGGGTACTCAAAGACAAAAAAAAATATTACACACATAACTGTCAACCAGGCTGGGGTTGTCTAACAGCCCCTAACAAACCACCCGACGCCAACCCACTTTTGTGCGTGTTTGTTAATGAAATGTTTGCATTTCGCATTTAGTTACGCTACGTTAGACACTTTTGCTTATTAGTGTAAAGCGCAACTTAAACGTTGAAAGCAAGCAAAAGACAAGAGAGAGCTAGATAGACAGACTGGGAGACAGAGAGAAGGGGAGTCTCTCTCTCCCCCACTCGACAGACAGGCACAAAAAAGCGGCGCCTAGACAAGGCAAGGACAGCAAGAAATCCAAGATAGCGACAACAACAATGTCCTTGTCTTATTATTATAAGACAAACCAAACAATTGCCGCTGTGCAGCCACCTATCATTCGACCCCTCTCCTCCCTACTGCATGCCCGTTGGGGGTCGGGCGTCCCCTGCCTGACGCAGTCAAGGTTCAAGGTTACGAACGTGGCTGCCTTCAATTTCGGTTGAATTTGAGTTTAGGGGCCCACATATATGCAACATAGACTACCTCTCAGTCTCTCTCTCTTTTTCGAACTCTGCTGGCAAGTTTTTCGGGCAATTAAAAAATTAAATTGTGCATATGTCACGTAGGAATTGGGTATCCTTTTAAGGCAGGCTAAATGGCGCCAGCACGACTTCTTGCCTTTTTAAGTTTAATTGGATTTTGAGCGCAGCGCTGCGAGACGAGCCCCAACAACAATAATGTTTAATTAAGTATTCACACACACACTCACACACACATGTACACAGGGAGCGCACTAAATAGTAGAAAATAGGATTTCATATGCCCAATTTGAGCCTTGGCTACATATATTTATGATGACTTTTAGACTGAGTGTAATAAAGAAAGGAATTTTAAGCTTCCAAGGTAAATTGCATTTGCAATTAGTTCCTTACCAGAACTCACAAAATACCTAAAGAGTAGATATTTCGGATTACATTAATACCCTTTTTCATATATAAGCTTTGCGTTGGAAATCATTTTCTTAAATTCTTTTGCTTCCTTTGGAAAGTAAAAGTAATACAAATATTTAATATTGGACTTTCAGCTCTTTCCAAAATTTATGTTTGTAAAATGCCAATTTATAGCAAACACATAAATCCTAGAAGCGACTACTAGGCATATACAAATTGTTGCTGGATTTCTATAAAAAAGGGGTAATAATCCCCCATAAGTAAGTCAGGACAAAGTCTTTTATAGCTAGATGTTGAACTCTGACCAACTCTTAGCTTGACCCAAGTTTAACTTTTGCAATTGTTGTGGCTACTTTTCAGTTGAATATTCTTTCTTTTCTTTAGTTCTGAATATTTGATATACTCTGAGCTACTTTTTGCATGCGTTCAGCTATGATATTTGATATGCTCGAAGTGCCAAATGGCAAATTCCCAAAATTGTTGAGCGGCCCGCAACAATGCGACACACTATAATAACATTTCAGTCTGCCTAGGAAAATGCCACAAAAGTGTTCGCATAGCGTCAAAGCAAAATATTTTATCGACACGCACATTGAGGCACAGTCCCCGTACCCCCTCCTCCATTCCTCCTTATCTTGACTCGATTCGCATGTTAACAACAAGCAGTTGGAACAAGAAAATACAATATATATATGTATAGCTGTATATATATGTATATATGTATATGTGGCAGACTGTATATGCATATTGTGTTTTATCTTTAGATTTAACCTTTGTGCGACAAAAGCTTTTAATATGCAAATGACTAAATGAGCAGTCCTGTCGAGCTGTTTAAGGACCTCCACCTGCCCTCTCTATCAAGGTTTTCGGTTTGGTATGCGAAATGTGCCTCGGTCAATTGGTACATTTGCACATTTCATTAACGCGGCCAGTTGAACATAACCTCCCCTCAGCACCCAGCCCCCCCTCCCCATGGACTATACTCCCTCTCTCACTCTCTCAGTCCACTAAACTCTTAACTAGCTGACGCAGCGGGAAAAGTCCTTGCTTTGATGTTGTTGCTTTAACTTTAGTTTAGCAATGGACTATATGGAAATGTCTTGTGTGTGTGTGTGCTTGCTTGCTTCCACACTTCAACACACTTCTTCATGCACATTTGCATATCATTATGTGTATTTGGGCCAAGCCAAAGGCAGCAGCAGCAGCAGCCCCGGACTAACACGCCTACATTCCCAGCTCACATAGTTAACTCAGTAGCTCTCTTTCTCTCTCTCTCCTTCGCTCGCTCACACTATTTCATTCGCTCATAACGCCTAGATTTAAGATTATGAGGTGGCTGAGTTTTGTGGCTCGCCGCTAAAACATGTTCGGTATGTCAGTTAGTAAATCTGTGTGTTGGCCAAGTTAGCAGTCACGGGCGCTAAGGTGTTGCTGCTATTAACTTGGCATTCCAGCAGGTGACTCGAGTCAGTTGACTTTGGGTGACTTAAGGACTTGACTGCC